GTTCACTGTTAAATATTTGCTTCTACTTGGGTGTTTTTTGACCTTAGCCCCAGTGAGTACATGGAGCAGGTATGGTATGTGTTTCAAGTTGGAAACACGAGGTAAGGTCTGTGATCCAATTTTATTGGCTACCCTGATTATGCAAGTGTTAACTGTGTGTTTTGATTGCTTGCAGATTTATTGGGCATCAAGGTGGAGATTTGTTGGGTTTTTGATACCCAATAAATTCCGGGCTATGATGTTAACGTGGGTTAATATTATTTCATAGGCATAGGCCGATGAATGAAATAAGTCCAACAACCAAGTCCATGAGCTACACCCGGCTCAATTGTATTCCTTATGGATGGCTTGAATCTTGGCCCGCTTACCCCTTTAGTGGCCCAACTTAAAGCCTAACCCTAGAGTATATATATGAATATAACCCTAGCCTCTTTGTGATGATGATTGTGTGATTTTGAGAGAAGAAACTAGTGAATCTCGGCTGCCCTCCTTTTGTGTGAGAAAAAGGTGTCCAGAAGTGTCCAAAACGCTTGTATAACGTGTGCAATTGGTAGTTCTTTCATAGTATACCTTTGTGGTGTCTTCTCCTAGCCTTTGTGGCGATAAATCATCATCCCTTCTTGTCCTACGTGGGTAAGATTGTATAGCAACCAAGGTGAATCAATTTGGTTGTGGTTTGGAGCCGTGTGGATTGGTTGTTGGTAGAGAAAGGTACGTTGGACTGAGCCTGGAAAATCACCGTTTGAAGATCCTTTTGAGAGAGTTTCCGCAACAGTAGTAATATTTCGATAAGCCAAAAACAACCAACAGTAATAATCAGTTCGTTTTTCCTTTTTAGCGGTACTCAGTGGTCTGCCTAATGACCATACTTAAGATGCCCAGCTCCCCTTCAATAAACGAGTAATAAGCACATAATGAAACAACAATAAACATCATCGACTAGATGGTCATTGACAAACAAATTTTTTCCCTCTCACTGATACAATTCAAGCTTTGGGAGAAGCAGAAAGAAATAGTAATGCAGTACTCATAATAATACCACACGATGCCACTCGAGCGCGATACAACTTTGTATAAAACATTTGATTCTTAGGTCATGAATGTTTCCTTGTGTACTTCGAAAAATTTTGTCTGATGAAGAATCTACGAAGCAGATATTAAAAATACGGTATCCCAATTACTGAAGCAAAGAAAATGCCATTTCCTCTAGTCAGGGCCAGGCAAGACTTCTGTTCAAGCTAATTTAATAGACCAGTGGGCAGCCTTCAACTACAACTTCTTTAACCGTTGGGCAGGAAGCATAAGGACAGCTATCAAGGTCATTGCCCCACCAATAGAGGCTATTCTCCATGCCAAGGCAAACGTACAAAAGCACCCCCATAAAGGCCAGACCAGCATCTAATGCACCAGAAAGGATGTAGTTGTATCTCTTCCCCAAATCTGGCCTGCATCTATATGCTACATAGCCAGACAAGAATCCAACTATTATCCAAGTTGTGTAGTTAACTGCAGTAGCTTGTGGCATCATTCCAACAACACCTATTAAGATTGTCATGTTTATGAATTTGATCCACTGTTTGCTAGGAAAGGCCTTGCGAGCAAACCAGAGAAGAAGAGGAGCAATTGCATCACCAAGGAAGAACCAATTAATCGACCCATAAACTCCTTCATCTCCAAAAGTATGACGAGGGCCTATTGGACGCCCCATGATAGACGCATCGTAAAACACACGGTCAGTATGGCATGTCCATATACTCTGCGAGGATGTCGTCTCACAGATGTCAGGGATTGTCTCCATTAACCACCATTAAGTGGCAGCAGTGCCCAAGTAGAAAAAACAAGCAATGATACTCACGACTAACTACATGGGCAATTATTAATCAGCGATTGGATCCGATATATTGTAGTCTTGAGAACCAGGAAACTGTCTGGGTAAAACTGACCTGTGCAATGAACATTGTTCTTGGTGGAATTTTCATGTAGTGGCCAAGCTTGAAGTCTTGGAGGAAAGTAACAGCTTGAGTCATCAATGCATACGTAACCGTAAACTTTAAAGCCCGTGTTAGCCACTGGATATCCTGGATAAGTATATTCAATTATATACTCAAGAATCATGATCATATATATGGTGCCTGTCATTTGCAAGAACATCGAGCTTAAGGATAGATGTAAACAATCTTCAGAAATGAAGTGATGTTTAGAACATCGAAGAGGATTGCTTTACTTGGTTAGTGACAGCAGTCAATATCTCAATAGGAAGGGTGAAGAAAATAGCAATGGTATTATGCTAGTATGAAGATCCACCACGGCATTTGAAGTAGATCCTTGTAATATTCACAGGGAAAAAGAGTAAATCCAATATTTGTTACAAGAATGAACCAAAACCACCACTCAGAAACTTGCTTGTATTTGCTCATCAATTTTGTGTATACACTTTTTGTTTTCTGTCTAAAACTTTTGATTGCAACGAATTCTAGAGAATTGAATTGCCTAGAAATTATTTGCCTGAAAATTGTAAATTATTGTATTTGATTGGTATAATTTTTCACGTGGAAAATGTTGAAATCAAAGTGTTTTTTGGTGTTCATTTAGCTTTGTTTTATAAGAAAATTGTCAATTAAATGGATAGATTTTACTGGTATTGGGGATTAAATTTGTTTCCATTGTAAAAAAATAAAAAATAAAATTCAAGAAAATAATTTATTTTTTGATGTTTGTTTGACTTTGTTTTACATGGAAATTGTCAATTAAAGGAAAATATTTTTTACAATAATTCTTAAAATTTGTTTCCATTGCCAAAAAAAATTTAAAATATAAAAAATCTGGAATTCCATTTCCCTGGGAAAACAAATTCAATGAAAAGCAAGAAATGGTCACCCTGTGAAGCAAAAATGGAATTCCAATTGCCAAGAAATAAATGCCTATCAAACACCAACAAAAGTGGAAAATGGAACATGGAATTGGAAGTGAATCAAACATACCCTTAGTTCTCTGCATTTTTTTATTATAATCACTGTCATGCAAGTATTGAAACCAAAGTATAAGGCAAATGATAAATGCCTTGAATAACCAATCAGTACCTTCCATGGAAAAGAAGTACGTGCATAGTAGTAGCAGAAAATGCTGCAAAACAAATCCAATATGTCACTGGAAAAAATGTACTGAGGTATTGAGGCCCTTCTCGCTCATAGGCAGTGGCATCAAGGTGAAAATCAGAATCAATTATAATGTTATAAATCTTGCCTTTTGTTGTGAAGAGACCACTGGAAAATATAGGAAAGGTTGTGGCTTTATAGATATCTAGCCAGTAGCACGGGAATTAACATTTCAAAAATATAGCCAGGAAAGACATAGTAAGCAAAGCCGCAGATAAAGGAAATTATAAAGAACCGAAAACGCTTCAATCCTCTCTTAGTCCGTTCTTCTTTTTCGTGCAAAGCTCTGCAACAGCATATTTTGAGTTTTAGAGCCCAACACAGGAATGGATGTATATAATACCTGAATGATTGTTAACATAATGTGCTCTATGGACTTCCCTAAGGAACGAGACTTGGACTAAATTGTCAGGCCACCAATTTGCTGCAGGCTCCACAAGATACCTACTGAATATACCAGCCAATCCAAACCCCAGAGCCTGCGATTTAATACCGTATGTTCTGTCAGGCTGCCTAGAGCCTAATCATAATATACACTTATTCCTAAACCACGAATTCCCCTAATGTTCCTATAATATGTAAAGAATTTCTACGGGACCATATTTTTGAAAGAGACATTACAGGAGTGAGATCACCCTTTTGTTCCATATTTAAAACTTGCAGTGACGAGTGAACTAAGCTCTTGTGTTGAAATTTAGTTGTTTTCATCACCATTGCTCTCATGAATAGGCATTAGGATCTAGTACAGAAGAACCAATGACGAGTGTATTTTACTCATGAGTTTATGCCAATTTTAACTTGATTATGAGCTAGATTTTGCAAATAGTGAATGTTTTTAATGTGTTTATTAGAGTTGTTCTATAGGATTGTTGAGATGGTAAAAGATACGAAAAAATTCATCAAATAAAGCTATTGGCATGGATTGAAAAGAAATTGTAGATAAAAGGGCAAAAGAGGCAAAGCACAATATAGATTGGACGAGTGGCGCCAAGGTGCCACACGAAGAAGCGGAAATTGGCAAAAACAGGGGTAAAATTCAAAGTTTGGGGATCAAAGTGTAAATACTCAAAAATTGTGTTGAACCTCATGATGAATATACGAGAATGCTTGAGGTCAATTGGATGCAATTAGAAGTAAAAGGAGTGAAATATAATCAAAATATGGACATTATGTTGATTTTTAATTGCACACGGGTTCCAAATTTTCTACTCAAGATTGAAACCCATTTTTGACCTATTAAACATTTGAATTGGAAAAAGCTATTTTAAAAAATTTGTAGCCCTTTGAGTTAGCTTTACAACCCAACTTGAATTGTTTCAATTGGATATTGGGTGAGAAAATTATGATAAAAATAGTAAAGAAAGTGCAGAGCTAATTCTTCACCCGGACGCCACCATCATGGTGTCGAGGCACTACCAAAACAAAGCCACGGCGCCGCCTGATTACATCTAGGGCACTTTTTGGCCCATTTTGAAATCCATAAAAATCATACTTTCAAAACAAACGTGGATGCAACTATATATACAATTTTTCCACATTTTTGTAGGGGATTCCATGCATTGAGAGGCAAGAACATAAATTGAGAATTAGAAAGCAAATTCAATAGAAGCCATTATTGTTATTTGATTTTCTTCCTCTATTATGAATATCTAAAATTCTTGTTAGGGCAAATAATGTAACTTACTTGAGACCCTTTATGTCTTTTAATTAAGATTTTTGTTCTTTATTTTTTTTTCATGTGTTGATTTTACTATGAATTTAATGCATTAAAATACTTGATCATTAATTTAATGATTTTTGAATCTTTTGCAAATCGAGAAATAAGTTTAGGATTTAGACCATGTAGTAAAATTCGATAAATTGGTATAACGTATAGAAATACCAATACTAATTATTGCAGCCATAGGTTAATTCCTATAACAAATAATTTTTTTAACTAAACTTGATTCACATAAAGATATGGAATTGAATTAGTTAAATAGGCTTAATGAAAACTAGAGAGGGGTAAATTGAATATAATAAGAGAATTCGACCGAACACCACATTAGATATGAATCTTGATTTAAGAAGTAAATGTAATCAATAGGTGAAATTATTCTACCATAATATTTGTTCATTAGTTAATACCTAAACCAATCTTTGTGTGCATCCACATATTGTTACGCATTTAAATTAAAACTTAAAACATACAAATCTTTATTTGCTTTTGTCGAATAGCAGTTAGAGGGAAAGTAAATTAAGTTCTAATGTATAGTCCTTGTGGGAATTATAATCCGGACTCACAGATTCATTATATTACTTGTTCGATATCCTATACTTGCAATAGTAAAAACGCAACAACCAAGCAGAAAAGATAATGACTAACCTTAGTTGTTATGACCACAATCAGGGAAACAAAGAATATAATTTTCTTCTTGTAAAAAACCTTGATGGCAGTAACCACCTTAATGGCTGAGACAATCCTAGCACCAGAATTTGCAAAAACAGAAATAAGAACATGTTATTTGATATTGAATGGACTTGGATTCAATGTGAATTCCCAACAAGTCCCTTTGAAGAAAACACGTCGTTTGACATTGGCAGCCATGAGTTGGCCTAAAAGAAGAACGGAATTCTGAACAAAGATTGCAATTATAGTTAACGACTTAGTCCGGGACCAGAAAAACTTATTGAGAAATGACAAAAGGACACAAGACATGGTGCCTAACAACCACATTCGAACGGTGAGAGCAAGGAGAGAGGGATCATCGTTAAGGGGTATCCTCACAGATGAAGTTTCTTTGAGTTTGATAACCTCAAAATTTAAGTAGGATACATTTTTATTATAATCATTCTTGTCAAGTTTAGATACTGCAAATAAATGTATGTAATGTTACGAAGAGGAATAATGAAACTTGAACAAAGAACTGAATTTTGTATCATTTGCAGATCGATCTTCCATTTTTCTTAATTCTCCTATGATCCTCAAGGTGAAAACAGAAATTCTACTAGAATTTGAATTGACATATTGATCTTCTTGATTATTTATAATTCTCTTGCCTCTTGGTGAGATGCATTATTTGTTGGAAAAATTCCAACGTATAGGGCCACACATGTTTATATATTAAAATGTATGATGCTCTTTTAAAGTTTAGTTGATAAAGTGATTCATTAACTTTATTTTTAGAATAATAGGTATTAAATGTTATCGGAATGAAGTGTAGAGATCGGAGAATGTTATTGTAATTTGATGAGGGGCAAATTTGAAATAGCACAAAATTAATAACTGCCATATTGCAGTTATTTTATTATGGGGTCATAGTCCTCAATTGCACGTGAATTCACAATTCTCTACATCCCCATCAACAGTGAAAAATATTTCAAGAAATCACGTAACAATTGGAAGATCAAAGCACATGCATCTATGGATCAAGGTACGATTCCGCTTCAACCTTCTCTTTGATTTCAACACGGAGCATTTATATAAATTTGTGAAAGGATTTGATGAATTTTGGTTCCTTTCAATTTCCTACAACTGGTATCAGAGCATTTCATTGTTAAATCTGTGAGAAATTGTAAGAATTATAGTTGTTACAATTATGTATTTTGATTTATTTTTGATCTTCTATCATATGATTATATGGAATTTAATTACTGCAATATTTTGAGAATTTTCAAATTTAACAATTTAGGACTTGTTTGTGTTGAATTTGAAAATTGTTTAACATATTATTTATGGTTATTTTTTAAGATTTGAATTGAAGTTTTGAAGTTTCAGTTTATGGTTCTCATTTTTAGTTTAAAAAAAATTGAAAACCATTTCTATCGGCGCTACAATGTGCCACCGGCGATGCTAGGTACAGGGCCGGTCGCTGGCAGGGGTGGAGCCAGGATTTATGTTCAGTGCGAGCATCATTTTTCGACGTCAAACTTCAATGTTTTGGTCATAGATTTAATGATGATAAAAAAATAAAATAATATTACAACAATACTAAAAACGACATAATTTATATATTAAACTTGTTCCTTGCGAGTTTTTATATTTTGATATCGTCGTACAATAACTTCATTATCGAGCTTCAAAAATATATCTTTCTCTACATAAACAATAGTGTTATCATTCATTCACTGATCACCCATCCGATTGCGCAATCTATTCTTTACGATATTCATTGCAGAAAAAACTCTCTCCACAGTAGCGGTAGCAACCGGTAAAATCAATGCTAAAGTCAAAAGTCTATAAACCAATGGATATACCTTATCTTTCTTTGTGAAGACCAACTTCTCCGCAAGATCACCAAGGCTATTCAACCCTTCAAATTCTTTGTTAGAGCGCATGTCAAAAATATAAGTCTTAAGTTGATCACTAAGTACAATGCCATCTACTGCAGAGAAATCTAATGGATAAAACTCAGCAAGTCTAATCAAGCTTTTCTTGTCAAAAGAAGAAAATGAATCTTGTGGGCACAAACAAGCTACACAAAGGAGTAACTCTGTATTTACCTCCGAGAAACGATCATTCAATTCTTGAAGTTGTAAATCGATGATAGAGTAGAACAAATCTACTCGATAATGATGTAAATTTGTAATTTCTGGAGAATTACGCTGAGGGCGACCACGAATTGCAAGGCATACAAACATATCATCCATGTTGGGTACATGAATGTAATGTTGTTGAAAAAAAGAACATACTTCTTCCAAAAAGGAGTCCCACCCTTCGTCTCTCATTATTTAGAGTCGTCGTTTGTACAATCTCACCAATTGCATTGCATTCACAATATCTTGATCTTTTCTTTGCAATACCTTTAACAGTTCATTTGACATCCCCAACACACTTCTCATCAACTTTAAATTAAATGCAAAATCAAATCTTTGTATCAACTCCAATAAATTTGTTGCATCAGATCTTTGATCACAAGAATAAGATTCATCTTCAACAATCATTGCAAGTACATCTAAAACAGAAGAGAACATGGCAAGCAAGCTGACAAAGAATCTTAGTGTGAACTCCATCGTGTATCACCAGAGCGCTGAAGGGTCGTTTCTTGATTAAGTCCCCGTCCACTTAAAATCTCACCTTTTTCCAATGCCTCAACAATAAAGTCTAATTGTTTTTCTCGAAGAAGATCACAACGTTTGGAAGATGTTCCAACAGTATTTATCACGTTCCCAACCACACGAAAGAAGTTAGTAATAGGGATGTTCTTCTTTTCCACAGCCACGAGCGCAAGTTGGAGTTGATGAGCAAAATAGTGAATGTAAAAGGCACATGGACTCTCCTTCAAAATGAGTGTTTTCAGACCATTAAACTTACCTTGCATATTACTTGCTCCATCATAACCTTGTCCTCTCAATCTAGACATACTCAAGTTATATCTAGAAAATACCTTATCAATTGTAGCCTTAAGTGATAGAGCCGTGGTACTTGTAACATATTCGATCCCTATGAAGCGTTTATTGACATGCCCACTACTGTCTACATAACATAAAACAATAGACATTTTCTCTTTCATTGACACATCACAAGATTCATCAACTAGAATAGAAAATAGTGAGTCGCCAACATCTTTGATAATAACATTGATCGTTTCAATCGCACAAGGATTTACTATATCCTTTTGAACATCAGGTGATGTCAATTTGCAATTGTGAGAAGCATTTCCCAATGTGACGGCATTGATAACTTCATTATGAGCAGCAAAAAATTGCAATTGTGCTAAGAAGTTACTTGGATTGGAAGAATCCTCAGATTCATCATGACCTCAAAATGAGTGCCCTTGTCGCAAAAGAACTCGAACACAATCAATGGATGCATTAAGGCATGTAACATATGTATTTCTTGCTTGTTCTGACTGTTTGTAGAAAACTGATTGAATGTGTTGCTCTTGATTCATCAACACTTCACACTTAATACGAGCTTGATTATGTGCACTATCATGAAGTCTTACATGAGTATGAAGCATTTTTTTATCTTTCCAATATGTAAAACCTTCGCCAACAAAAGACTCACCTCCACCTTGCTTTCCAGAACTTGTTCTAAAAAGATAACAATACAAACAATAAGCAACATCCTTCTCTACACTGTACTCCAACCAACTACCGAACTCTTTAAACCACGAAGGATTGAATCGTCTAATTGTTACTCCAAATTATCATTTTGGAAAGTCATGATCTTGGGGCTGACAAGGACCCTTTAACATATATGCTCTTCGAATTTCATCTCGGATGTTAGCATTGTAATCTAAAATGGGTATCCTTAGACTAGGATCAGTTGGAAGTTTTGTGACATCAAACTCCACATTATTCGATACCCCCTCATCAACACTATCTACGTTCCTTTTTCATTGAAAGTATCTATTAATTTGATATCTAGATTTAAACATTTGATATCAAATTATTACTTGAAGTGAGTGAGAATAATTCATAATGACAAAAAGATCATAAATTCACAATTTCACAATTTCAATTTGCAGTGCAATTCACAATTTCACATTAAGTGATTCAGTACCTGAAAATTGGAATGGTTTAATGAGTGAGTGCAGCACCGTTCGAGAAATATATGGAGAACTGCCTGAACTAGAGAAGTCTGTCAAAAAAATTCAACAAATTACATTTCTGAATTTATTATGATCCAAAAATTGATGACAATCTAACTTCACAAATGCCAAAATCTGAAAATTTGTTACTATCTTCTTTCCAGGGGACTCAATTTTTAAATTCAGATCTTAACTTCAAGTCTTCAATTGGAATTAGAAAGTTGAACGTAATCAATTTCTCTACACCTAACAGAGTAACAACATTTCCATTCCACGATAGAAATATAAACCCATGAGACCCATCAATAATTAACCAGTAACATTCATAAATTAAGCAGAACCGTAAATACAATTTTCAATTTTCAGAATTTTCCACACTCCATCTTCACTGAAATATACATTAGGTAAGTAAGGTAACCTTCAATCACCTTCTTAGTTCTTCGTTCTTCTGGGCTCCGGCTTCGGGTTTTTCCAATCTCCAGTGAATCAGTTTTTTCGTTGGGCAGCTTGGGCCGACAGACGCAGTGGCAAGCGGCGTCGCAGCAACTGGCGGTAGACTGGACATCTGGAACTGTCAATCTAGAAGTCGCTAGTCGGCGCCTGCGAGTTGGAGTAGCGATTGGCGACTGACGAGAAGCGACGATGGCGGAGGGTCGACCGGTTGAGAGAGATGCGATTCAAGTTGCAAGGGTTTGGTAATGGGTATGAATTGAACGTAAATGGGTTAATTGATTCAAGATGTCGGGTTGGGTCAGTAAACGGCCCATGGACTGCTGGAAATTGGGCCTTTTTAATTAACCAGGCTTTACCTAAACAAAAAAAAAAATTGTTTTGGGCCTACTGGAGCCCAAAAGTTCAGTGCGAGCATCTGCTTGCACTGGACCTAATGGGGCTCCGCCCCTGATCGCTGGTGTCATTAATTAAGGAGAAAGAGAGACACTGGCGATCGACACCGATCACCGATGCTGGGATGGATTTTGGGAAAGCGGCCTGAGCTGTAATTTCAATAATCTCAGGCCCTTACTTGCAATTTAAGATTAGGGTTAGTTATTTTTTATTAAATAAGAATTTAAATTTTAGTCCCTAAAGTTTGGAATCCATTCAAGTTGGAGGTTATGGATTTAATAATTCAGCCCCTAAAGTTTGAAAATTATTTAATTTAGGCCATTAAGGTTTTGAATTTTGTAATTAAAGCCCTCAATGTTTATAATTAATTAAAATTGGCCCCCAAAGTTTTAATTTTTTCAAATTTTGACCCTTAAAGTTTTGAATTATTAACCCTTAGGTCCCTAAAGTTTTTAAAAGCATCTAATGATGCAAAATTAGTGATTCTCTTTCTCAAATTTTGGTACTAAGGACTCTTTTAAGAGGTATAATTGAGATTTAATTATGTGGGACATTCAAATTCAAATAATTTGGTAAATCATTTATGATAAATTAAGGTTATCTAGCATTTTGAATAAACTAATTGAAACAATATGTCACCACAAAGTGACCTTTCTTGTGTAGATTGATTTGTTTGGGATGTTTAGATGTTGCGTGTGTGTTTCTTCATGAGGGTATTAGTCAGTCAAAGGTAGGTTAATACTTGGCAGAATTACATACACAGTTGCGATGGGAAATGTGTGAAAATTATAAGGTTTCTATATGAATAATAAATCAATCCAAAGATGGGTTTATTATTTGACACGAATTATTGTCAATATTTGATCATTGTACTGAGAGTACCACTTACAATTAATATTACTATCCAAAGACTTGATATTAATGTTGCACTAGGTACCTTGAGATGGAATTTACAATCATTTGAATTTATTGTTCATTAAATGTGGATATGAGCGTAATTCATCTACTACTAGGATATCTACTAATGTTAATTCTATTCCTATGCTTAATGAGACAAACTTCAAGAATTGGAAAAAGAACATATTGATTGTTCTTGGCTATATGGATCTTGAACTTGCACTTCGGATTGAGGAACCTACTTCTCTTACGGAAGAAAGTTCTCCTGATGAAAAGAGAAACTTTGAGATGTGGAATCGCTCAAATCGCATGAGTCAAATGATCATTATCTGGAAGCCTTTAGAGGTGCAGTATCCGAAGGGATACTAATATCAAGGAATTCCTCATCGAAATTGAGAAGCATTTCGCGAAAAACGATAAGTTTGAAACAAGCACACTTTTGCAAAGCTTGATTTCAATGAAATATAAAGGCAAGGAGAACATAAAGGAGTACATCATGGAGATGTCTCACATTGCTTCTAAATTTAAAGGGCTAAAGCTTAAGCTGTTTAATGACTTGCTCATACATTTGGTATTGATCTCACTTCCCGTAAAGTTCAATAAATTTAAGGTCGGTTATAACCGCAAGAAGGAGAAATGGTCTCTAAACGAGCTCATTTCATATTGTGTGCAAGAGGAATAAAGGTTGAAGCAAGAAAGAACCGAAGTGCTCACTTGGCAAGCACTTCGACAGATAATGGCAAGAAAAAGAATAAGGAATATGAAGCTGCTTTTAAGGGTTTGGTACAAAAAGAAACGAAAGGAAGATAAAGGAACTTGTTTATTTTGTAATAAGACTGGACATGTGAAGAAAGACTGTACCAAATATCACGCATGGTGTACAAAGAGAGGTACAATTCTTACTTTGGTCTGTTTTGAGGATAATTTAGTTTCAACACCTATAAACATTTGGTGGATAGATTTTGGTGTTACTACTCATATAAGTGTCTCTATGCAAGGTTGCATGAGCTACCGAAAGTCAAGTGATTGTGAAAGATACATCTACGTGGATGATAGCAAGTTAGTGGAAGTTGATGTAATATGCACTTTTAGTTCATTATTAGGAACTGGTTATTATTTGGACTTGAAAGACACTTTTGTTGCACTGTCTTTTAGACGGAATTTAATTTTTGTTTTTTCGTTGGACAAGTCTGGATACTATTGTTCATTTGGAAACAACTAGTTTAGTCTTTCATTAGATTCCAATATTATTGGTACTGGTTCATTATCTACATATGATAACCTATATTTGCTTTATATTATTGTATCATATAATGAAATCTTGCATGTGGAGTCACATGGTACTAAACACAAATTAAATAAAGAGAATTCAACAAAATTATGGCACAAACGCTTAGGTCACATCTCAAAAGCTAGAGTTGAAAGACTTGTATCAGACTGTATTTTGGATTTCATTGACTTTACAGATTTTGATATATGTATTGACTGTATCAAGGGAAAATAGGCCAAAAGAAGGAGATTAGGTGTTAACAGAACTTCGGACGTCTTAGAATTGATACACACGGATATTTATGGGCCATTCACTACGGCTTCTTGAAATGATCAACAATATTTTACATCATTCATAGACGATTACTCACGTTATAGGTATCTATATCTTATTCATGAAAAGTCTAAGTCACTGAATGTGTTCAAAACTTTTAAAACTGAGATTGAGAATCAATTCAACAAAATGATAAAGAGCGTTACGTCTGACCGTGCTACGACAGATATGACGATCCAGGTAAACAATGTCCAGGACCATTTGCTAAATACCTAGATGAATGTGGAATCATCCCACAATACACCATGCTAGGATCGCCTAACAGGAATGGTGTAGCTGAACGATGAAACAGGATTCTTAAAGACATGGTAAGAAGTATGATTAGTTATTTCACCTTACTAAAATCACTCTGGGGAGATGTATTAAAGACCGTAGTTTACATTCTGAACAGAGTACCAATTAAGACTACTGCTAAAAAACTTTATGAGCTTTGGACAGGCGGAAAGCTTGGTCTAAAGCATTTTCATTTTTGGGAATGTCCAGTTGAGGCTAGGCTTTATAGGCCACATGAAAAGAAATTGGACGCCAAAATAGTGAGCAGCTATTTTATTACTTATTCTAAGCGATTTAGGGGTTATAAATTTTATGATCTCACACTAAAGTCAATTTTTGAAATGGGAACCACAATATTTTTCGAGGATGTTGAGTTTGGAGAGAGAAATAAGGTTAGTGACATCATCTTTGGGGAAAAAGTTGAGGAAGGATCGGCTTCGATACCTATTATTGTTTTTAACAATGTATAGGTTCCTACACCTATCATTGATCACGAAGTATATCCAGAACCTTAACACGATAATGTTGAAGACACACCCATCCAAAATGAGGTAATTAATCGAAAGTACAAACTCAACAATATCAAGAACCAATTCCATTAAGGAGATCCATGAGAGAAAGGAAAAAAGCTATTACGGATGATTTTATAGTATTTCTTCAAGAACATGACGAAAATAGTGGAATGGTGGAAGATGATCCAATCAATTTCCATCAGACCATGCATGGCTCTAACTTTCAAAAGTGGATTGATGCCTTGAATGAAGAATATAAGTCTATGCAAAACAATAAGGTTTGGGATCTTGTCTCATTACTCGAAGGTGTGAAGCCATTGGTTGCAAATTTATTTTTAAAACCAAAAGGGGTTCAAATGGTAATGTGGCAAGATATAAGGCTCGTCTTGTGGCTAAAAGGCTTTACCCAGAAGGAAGCCATCGACTTCAAAGAGACTCTCTCTCCAGTTTCAATGAAACTCTTTCAGGACAATTATGACACTTGTTGCGTATTTCGACCTTAAGTTACATAACATGGATGTTGAGATGACATTTCTCAATTGCGACATTCATGAAACGATCTATATGGTGTAACTAGAAAACTTTGTGTCAGGAGACTCGAAGAATATGATTTGCAAGTTAAAGAAATCCATCTATGGGCTCAAGCAAGCTTTCCGTCAATGGTACCACATATTTCATCAAGTCATTATCTCATTTGGTTTTGAGATGAATGTCATTGACGATTGTGTGTATCACAAGTTCAATTGGAGTAAGCATATTTTTCTAATTTTGTAGGTTGATGACATACTGTTTGTTAATAACGATATAGGCATGTTGCACGAAATCAAGAAATTTTTATCAAAGAATTTTTGGATGAAAGACCTTGGTGATGCGTAATTTTGTATTAGGGATTCAAATACATTGGAATCACTCTAGAGGTATTCTTAGATCGTCACAAAAGAGTAAATACTTAAGAGGTTTGGCATATAAGATTGTAAACCAGGTAACACTTCTGTCGCTAATGGAGACAAATTTATTCTCAAACAATGCTCGCAAAATGACCTTGAAGCTAAGGAAATGCAAAAGATTTTCCATGCACAAACTATTGGGAGTCACATCCAGACATAGTATTCATTGTTGAATTGCTAGGCAGATATTTAAGCAATCCTGGGATGGATCATTGGAAGGTAGCTAAAAGTATTATGAGATATTTAAAGAAAACAAAGGATTATATGCTCATATATAGCAGATTGAATCAATCAGAGATCATAAGATACACCGATTTTGATTTTGCTGAATGTCAAGACAATAGGTGATCCATATCAAGCTATATTCATCTGCTAGCTAGAGGAGTTATATCCAATAAGAGTGCCAAGCAGACGCTCATAATTTTTTCTACTATGGCAGCATAGTTTGTTGCTATGAGGCATCTAACCATAAAATATGGTTGCAAAA